ACTTCCTTGTCTGCCTTCCCCTCACCTGTAAGACATGTCTCACACACTTGTGTCCTTACTGACCTGCAGTGTCCTCTGGAACACAGCCTACGTCTTATTGATCTCTCTTCCTCTAAGCCTTGCATACGGCGGGCTCAACATAGTGATGTACTGAGCTACAGAAACTATACGTACTCTTGGCATAGAGAAGATGGGTAAAGGAGACTCTGATTTTGACTTGGTCTAAAATAGTCTCTTGGGCAAGATTCATTTCATATTACTATTGGAGTGGAAAAAGGAGAATTTTAATTATTTGGAATGGTGAACATTTACCAGCGAGACTGGATCCCTCAGATCAAATTCAATCACAGAGCAATAGGGTCATAATACAAGTGGCGGTTATTATCCTCTCCTAACACTCAACAGGCTTAATGTGGATTTGTTGAATTAAATTAACACTAACGACTTACATTCATATATTGATTTGCAGTTTTCAAAGTATTTTAATTCTCAGTTTAATGGAAAGAACACTGAACTACCAGCACACTGATCCCTCTCTTTTAATATACAGAGTAACAAGCATTTGAAAATAATTCTGCTTTGGGAAATATTGTGCCTGGTTTGATTATGAAGAAATTTTCCTGAAGAGCCTTGGGTAGAATTTTTATTTCTTATTGCAAAAAGAAGTAACAAGAAGGCGTTTCCTTTTTCCCAGCAGAAAACATTTCTGCTTATTATCACCTTTAAGAGATGGCCCAAGTGATCCCTCTGGGGCAGAGGTTGCTGTGTCCCCCTTTGCAAGAGGAAGTAGTAGGTGCTGTGTTATGCCCTCAACCAATGGCTGATGGAGTTGGTGTGCAAAACCCTGAGCTCCTCCAGCAATCCCATGCCAGATGGAATCACTCTGGCACACATACTCTACACTGTCTCCCAGATTTCCCTGGTGGGTTTAAGTTTTCGCTGCCCACAGTGATAACTTGTCTGATGAAGCGTTGTTTATGGAGTATCTTCCTTTCTCTCTTTCCCCACTTCTCTACCTCTGTTCCCTAGGATCTCTTCCAAATTAACTACTTCTACTCAAACCCTCATCTCAGGGTCTGCTTCCGGGGAAACCCAAACAATGACTTCCCCAAAGTACCTTTCCCTAGAAGGGCACCAGGCTAGCTCATCACATCCAAGCCATTAAGCCACTTAACAAGGTGTGACGCCGCCTGTGAATTCTTCGCTCACACAATTTTCGAGCCCATCATCGTCTGCTGGTTTCATTGCTCTCCTGGGCAGGTTTGCTCCACTGCTGTTCTCGTTCTGTTAATGTTAGTGTAAAATTTTTAATTAAAAATAAAGAAGATAAATGTGGTTAGTTGCTTCAATCACAACTCTGTACGGGGCACGAGAGACACCGTGACTGGTGAAAGCCACTCAGTTTGGTCTCTCTGCTGAGGAATTAAGAATGAGGTATTTGGATATTCGGCTTTATCACTGGTACCAAGGAGACAGAAATGTTCACAGCCATGTGTGCTGCCTAGACACGCTTCCTGTTTGAGGAATGTTGAAAGTTCAGACCTGCTACGGATGGAAATTTTCCAGATGCATATATTTATGCAGAAATCACATTGTCTATTCAATTATGGGATATCATGTAGATTAAGGTTGGTATAGACATTGTCTCCTCAACAACATCTTCAACATCTCTTCAACAACCCAGCCAATGCCCATCAACCTTCCTGTTGAACATTTCCAGAGAATTCCTTCCATTTGCTTATTAACCTTAACCACTAGACAGTTCTTGCTTTAACTGAATCAACATCTCCCTTTTGCAGTTGACCACCCATTGGTGGCCATTTTTCTTGGGAGAAATGTCTGAACAAGTTGGATGCCTCATTCCACAGGAGAATCTGAAATATTTAAAACATATATAACATGTCTCTTAAGTTTTTTTCCCCCCAGAATAAACTTTTCTAGTTTCTTTGGCTCTCCTTAACAGAATATGGAGTCCCTCTTCCATGCCTCTGTCATGCTCCCTCAGAGAGTGAGATGCCCATTGGAAACTCCCTAGTTGTCCAATAATTGGGGATCAAAATGCTTAAGTAACTATGGCGTGAGATAGTATTATGTAGCCCTAAAAATCATGTTTTCACAAATATTAATAGTATAAGAATGTTCAAGACATATCAAATAGATGGGATAACACTATATATGCAATGAGTCCAATTTCATTAAAATATACATATAGGAATGATTGTTTTTTAACTAGAAAGATTGCTTTTAGAAAAGAAATGGAAAAAAAAAGAGGTAGCACTCAAGAATCCATAGAGTTCTCCAGGTATGTTTCTGAGATTTTGTTTCCCTTCCCAATTTCTGATGTGGGTTTTGATAGATGAATCATACTGTCTACTACCAGAGCACATATAGCTTATCAGGACCCGTAAATTAGTATCCCTTTTTCAACTGGAGTTGGGAGCAGGCTGCCAAGAAATGCCTGGGCTGGGGTGCAGAGGAGATGGTGTGGAGGTCAGTCACAGTGGTCTTGGCCTTCATGGGACTGGACTGAATGTGCAGTAGGGAGGTTATGCACCATCAGCTTTTCAGCCTGATGGCTAGCCACACAGCCTTGGGTCCTCCAGAGCAATGCTGGTTTGGGAAAGCGAGTGGAACCTTAGATAGCTGGTCTGGGAGATGCTGAAGCCTGGAGATGGAGAGAATCTTGGGAAATACCAATGTTTCTGAGAGCGAAGGGCAGCACTCCCGGGCTGGACTGTCTGGCCCTGCAGGTCAGTATCCCTGCCCTCTCTCTGTGAGATGGCATATCAGAGCCTTGGAAAAAGTGAAACATACGCATTTCTCAAACCTCCTTCAGACATCTCTAGAGCCCTGCAGTCGTGGGGAATGCAGAGAAAGGAGGGAAGAATTGAAAGGTCAGCCAAGATTAGGAGGAGGCAAAGAAGGATGGCACTGAGGCAATTTCTTTAAGAAAGTGAGCAAACAGACTATCAGCTGTACTCCATGCTCCTTGTGTTATAGCAGTGGGGGCAGGGAGCCATGTGGAGGTGGAGGGGGGGAAGGTGCTACCCACAGGACCACTGGGGCAGACTCTGCCACTCACAGCCGGCTTATTATCATCTTTTCTAAAGGAGTAGAATATAGTTTTGGTTTAACTTCTGCCATTCCTCTCCAGGACCATATTGGCTGAACTGTGCCAACTGATTTCACGTTTAACTTAATTTTAAAAAAGATGCTATTATTAAGAATTAAAAATAACAGTAAATGTTGGTGAGGATGTGGGGAAAAAGGCACACTCATACATTGCTGGTGGGACTGCAAATTGGTGCAAGCACTGTGGAAAGCAGTATGGAGAGTCCTCAGAAAAGTTGGAATGCAAACACCATTTGACCCAGCTATCACACTCCTCAGTCTACACCCAAAGGACTTAAAATCAGCATACTATAGCCATGTGGCCACATCAATGTTTATAGCAGGTCATTTCATAATAGCTAAGCAATGGAACCAACCTAGGTGCCCTTCAAAAGATGAATGAATGGATAAAGAAAATGTTATATAGGGCTGGGGTTGTGCTTCAGTGGTAGAATGCTTGCCTGGCATGTGTGAGGCACTGGGTTATATTCTTAGCATCATGTATAAATACATTAATTAAATAAACATCCAAAGAAAATGTGGTATATATACACAATGAAATATTACTCAGCCATAAAGAAGAATGAAATTATGAAATTTGTCAATAAATGGATGGAACTGGAGACTATCATGCTAAATGAAATAAGCCAATCTCAAAAAACCAAAGGCTGAATGTTCCTTCTGATATGCAGATAAGAAAACACAATAAGGTGTGTGTGTGTGTTGGGGGGAAATAGAAGTTAATTGGTTTAGACATAGGGAAATAAAGGGAAGAGAGTGCGGATGGGATTAGGAAAGAGAGTAGAATGAATCGGACATTAATTTTCTATGTTCATATACGAATACATGACCAGTGAAACTCCACATCATGTACAACCACAAGAATGGTATCCTGATTAGAATAAGTTATACTCCATGTATGTATAATATATCAAAATACACTCTACTGTCATGTATATCTAAAAAGAACAACGACAACAACAACAAAAGATGCTGTGCTCAATTTGGATGCTTCCAGATTTATAAAGACATGCAGTCAATACAAACACACTGTTGCCCTGTTCCTGAAGCCCAGAGCACCAAACACATGAAAAGCCCCATTTTTTTTTATTTGCGATGTAGATGCATACACCTTCTAGGGCAAAGGACCCAGAATGTTGACCTCCCAAACACTTTTCCTTTTTAACCATCCTTTCTCGTTCTTAAGCCCATTCATGTGGTTCTCTGTTAACAGTTCTCGGGATGCTCAATGCCGTGGGGAACATTATGGGTGTGAAGTGATCATGAGCAATACAAAGAATCAAAGAAAGATTAGCATTCTCGCTTCCATGAAGTGGTGGCTGTAATGTGAGTTGCTGCAGTTTTTGGCATTTTGCCTTCATTTCTGTCCAGCAAGCACCCAGATGGCTCGTTTCCACCTTCAATCCAGTGTTGTCAGCCAGAGTTGATTCAAGCCTTGCCAACTCTCTCTCTTCTGCCACCCTCCCTGTACCTATTTTGTTGGCATTCTGTTCTGTCAAACTGCAGGTTTCTTTCTTTTTTCCTCACATAGCCACTGTGTTTGCCTGCTGCCGGTCCCCACGTCTTGTTGTTTGCCTTTGGCTTGAGCTGTGGCTCTAACAAGATGAGCTATTCTAGTGTGTGTGTGTGTGTGTGTGTGTGTGTGTGTGTGTGTGTGCACACGTGTGCATGCATGTTAGAGTATGTGTGTTTCTGTGTGCATGCATGCATGCATTTCTGAGTGCATGTGTGCATGTTCCTGTGTGTGTGCATGCATGTGTTCATTCGTGCAAGCTCCTGTGCATGCGCATCCATGTGTTCCTAATAACCAGAGGTACCAGAACACTTAAAAGCACACATTTCCCCCACCAAAGTCAGGTTGTACTCACATAGTTGGAGGCCAGGTCTGGGTGGAGGTAGTCAATTCCTGCAAAAAGAACAACACAGGAACCAAAGGTTAATACCTGCTATGTATCCTCACAAGAGCTGCTCAAGCCAATGTCCTCCTTTGGGGCTGGCACCAGGAGACTTGCCATATCCCGTGGTGGAGTGAGCACCCGTCCCAAGCCCCCAGCCTTGCCTTTTCCATCTGGGTGAGGGCAGGCTGCACTGCTCAGTGGAGAGGCAGCTCTTCTCAGACACACTTCAGAGGAGTGAAGCCAATTAGAGCCTGGGGCCCAAGGATAACACTTCTGAATAAATGTCAGGACTAAGGGGCTTAGTGACTGTGAGATGGATGGCTCACCAAAGCAGTGATCTAAAAGAGATCTGTAGAAATCCTGACATTTCTAAAGCACAAACTGGCATTTCTCCTGAAATGCGACTGGCCCTGGGGAGGAAAAGTAATGATTATTTAACAGGGCACGGACAGCAATGGATTAGGAGAGCATACTCGGGCATGGAAATAAGAAGAGGAACGCGGCTCAGGGAGAAAAGCCATTAGGAAAGGGCAAATGATTTCCAGCGAGGTGTTCCCGGCTGGGACCTAATGCCTGTCTCTACAGAATGTGGCTTTTCAGGAAGCTGAAGGCTTCAATTCTCTCAGCAGGAGTCTTGCACTTTCTCTTGAATACGGGCCTGTCTTCTTGCCCACAAGTCATTCCAAGGCTAGAATTATGTCTATGAGCACTGCTGAGTTCCATCGGACTGCTAGACCTTAGACATCACCGTAGAACACCAAGGACAATTGAAATGCTCGTATTTGTGTCTGCAGAGTCATGCAATCTTTGCAGCAGTCACACTGCATCCAGCTTTCTGGGAAACTGGACAGGTTCCAGAGACTACCAAGAATAATGGTTGCTAGTGTAGGTACTTGGAGCCCAGGACTAGAGTTGGACTCCCAACCACTTGGATACAGGAAGCAAAAATTTAGGCAAGTTGCTTGATCTCTCTGTGTTCGTTTCCTTTTTAACAATTGGAGGTGAGAACAGGTAGGAGTTAAAAAAACTAATGCATGGGGCGTGCTTAGCCCAGCAGCTGGTGCATTTAATAACTATAGTGGGATGCAATATTTATAAGCTGCAAGTACCATTAAGTGCCTCCCATGGTTGGCATTTTCTTTGCATGCATACTAAGACTGTGCTGCCATTATAGCTTTGCCCTGCAAAACAATTTGAACTGGGATGTGAATTTCTAAAAGGAATTTCGGTTTGTTTTCTTCTGGTTTATACAAATAATTTCTGGACTGGGAGCCACTGAGTATAGCCGGTCACTTCCCACCCATGCTCAGGGTACTCTCTCTTTCTACTCACCTCCCAAACTTTGCAGAAGTAAAGACTAATATTTTTAAAAGTTGTCAACCCTTGTTCTGAACCTGAGTTCAAAGATAGCCAATTAAGGCTGGGGATGAGCATAAGCTTTCAGCCAATAGTTCAAGTTCCATTCAAGGATCAGACACTGTGATACTGATGTGGCTTCGGCTAAGTGACACCATCTTTTTCTCTGGGTCTTGCTTTTCTCATCTTTGAAATGGGGCCATTATTTACCTTGCAAAGCCTGTTCTTGGGATTAGAGACAACTCATTGGAATTTTTAGATTGTGTTAAACAGTATATTACATTTCTTATCATTCTGTCATTCACAACAGTAGAGTAATGTAGTCTTGGTTTTTACAATGTTGTGTTGAAATTAGAGCATAAATATTTGTTGAAATTGGTTAATATTGTTGAGAAGAAATTTTTGTAACATAGATAAGCTAAAAGAAGGCATCCTCCCCCTCCACACACATTTTTTTTTCTAACTGGAAGTTAGTTTTCAAAACTCCATGTCCTGATACTGGAATTTGTTTAAGAGAAAAATACTCTGAGCACTAGAAATCTCTTCTCTGTGAAGGGAAAACATTGAATCATGGAGTCAATTTGAGACCAGAAAAAAAATTAGGATTAAAACAAGATAAATTTAGCCTCATTAAAATCATGAATACTTAATTAGGTTAAGGGGAAGGCTAAGGTTGAGTTAGAATGGATACTTTGGTCTGAGAAAGAAAATATTTTTGATAGAACTGCAGATGATAGATATGATTCAGAAAAAATAATAGTGCACTAAGGAATGAAAATAATAATTTGATAGTTAGATAGTATTTTAATATTTGATTATCTTTTGAGGTGGAATATACCAAACACAATTCTTGATGACCTTATTTATTTTTTAATTCTTACATTAGTAATGTATCCTTATTTTTTAATGCTTTTGTTTGTTTTTCCATGATGAATTCCAGGTATGATTTGGTCCTCCCAAAACAGACAATTTAAACATAGAAACCAAGAAGTGTGCCTACCAATGGCTGCACTTTGATCCTGTCGCTTGCACTTTAAAGAAGGGAGACAGACTCGTGATCAGCCAGTCATAATGAATGTGGCTCACAAATGAACAATATTTGGTTATATTCTTGTTCATAAACCCTTAGTATCCTGCTAGCAATTTCAATCTTTTCAGAAAGTCTAATCCACAACAGTCCAAATTCTCAGGAAGCTCTAACAGGTTTAGAGACCTAAGGGAACTTTCAAGGGCTCCATGAGCATATAGTCTTACTTAGCATGCCAGTAGTTGAGTTGAGATGTGTAGCATTCTAGGACCCTGGTCCTGAGCTCGGTTCCTTCCACTCTCCCAGTGGAGCTACCATCTGTACTCCCTGCACCCCACTTAATTAAATGTCTACAAGAAGCAGGCTCAAGGAACATACTGCATTTTCCAAAGATGCCTGCACAGTATCTCCTATCCCGTCTGTCTTCTACAATGCGACAGTGTCACACTTCTCATGGAGATGTGGTTCCTCTGCCTCCTCTTCAGTCTGGGTGGGCCTGTAACTGTTTCAGTCAATAGATGTAGTGAAACACCGAGGCTAGGTCAGAAAAGTCCAGGAATCTTCTGCCTGTTCCCTTTGGATACTTACTCTGGGGGAAACCAGAGGCCATGTAAGAAACCCACAGGTAATATAGTGAATTTACATAATTTTATGTTATTTCAGGTTGAACTTTTTCATATAAGAAGCAGGGCTTAGTCCTCCTTGACACAGTTTCCAGTTCCCGACTGTTCCCAATTCCTTAGTGCAGCTAATCCAGATATATGCTTTATGCAGCTGCCTCCTGGTGCCCACCTTCCTATGGGACCACTAGACACAACCTATTCGACTTGCCTCACTGCTTGCCATACCCTATGTGGGCTGAGTGGATATGCTGTAGTTACCATGAGGCTCTTAGGCACTCATGCTTTCCTGCTCTTCACCCATAAACTAGAGTGCCCTTGAGGAACTCTCCCAGGAAGGTTCTACCCCACACAAAGACTTTGGTTCATGGACCCGTTGCTTGTTCTAACATCCCACTTGCTGGTAGACTGTTCATGTCCCCACCCTGCCCCTTGTCTCTCGCTCTGAGGCATGCTGCACTCTTTTTTCTGAACCTGTGAGTAATAAACAGCATCGGTTATTTCATGTTTTCTTTTTGAATCACCTCCTCTAGGTCTCATCTGACCAATACACCTGACCCTAACTTCTTTCTCAGTTAGGGCTGTCCCTGAGAGTGACTGTCTCAATGGGAATAAACTGGACATCGTTCACACAAGGCAGAGCATCTGTTAGTATGAACAGGTTTCCTGAGAGAGGGACACTTGATCACAGGTTGGACGCTTAGGCACTAGGCCCCTCACTAGGATAAAAGAAGTATCCTGCAAAAGGCACCACTTTGGGTCCCTCCAAAATTCATGTGGAAACTTAAACCGCAATGCAGTAGTATTAAGAGGTAGAATCTTTTGGTGATTAGGACGTGAGGGACTGTGTCATGGGTATGATTAGTGCTCTTACAAAAGAGATGAGAGGAAGTAGCTTAATTTCTTTTCACTTCCATCTCTTTCACCATGTGAGGGTGCAGCAAGGAAGTATCATCTATAAGGAAAGGGGCCTTCGCCAGACACCAGATCTAATGGCAACTTGATCTTGAATTTCTTAGCTTCTAGAATTATAAGAAATAAATTTATGTTTTTTTTTTAATAAACTACTCAATCTAAGGTGTTTTGTTATAGCAGCAGGAATCAACTGAGACAGAAATTGATATCAAGAAGTGAAGTGTTTCCAGGCATGGTGGCACACACCTGTAATCCCAGTGGCTCTGGAGGCTGAGGCAGGAGGATCACGAGTTCAAAGCCAGCCTCAGCAAAAGCGAGGCACTAAGCAGTTCAGTGAGACTCTGTCTCTAAATAAAGTAGAAAATAGGGCTGGGGATGTGGCTCAGTGGTTGAGTGCCCCGGGTTCAATCCTTGTCCCTCTGCCCCACAAAAGAAGTGGATTGTTACCATATCAAATATCTAGAAATGTGGAAGCAGCTTTGGAAGTATGTGATAGATAAAGGCAGGAAGAGTTTGGAAGTGATGCTATCAAAAACTTGTATTTCCATGAGTAGTGTCAGTGATCCTGGTGAGGGCATGAAAAAGAAGAACTATGGAGAGAGCCCAAATCTTCTTAGTCTCTCTAAGTAGCTGTGAAGAGATCATTGGTAGAAAAATGGACAGTAAGGACAATTCTTTTTTTTTTTTAAAGAGAATTTTTAAATATTTATTTATTTATTTAGTTTTCGGTGGGCACAACATCATTGTTTGTATGTGGTGCTGAGGATCGAACCCGGGCCACACGCATGCCAGGCAAGCGCGCTACCGCTTGAGCCACATCCCCAGCCCCAGTAAGGACAATTCTGATGAGATCTCTGATGAAAATGGGTATAAGGTATTGGAAACTGGAGGAAAGGCTGCCCTTGTTACAAAGTGGCAAAGAACTTGGCTGAACTATGTCCTTGTCCTAGTGCTTTAAGGAAGTTGAAACTTAAGAGTAATGAACTAGGATATTCTGCAGAAGACATCACTAAGCAAAGTATTGAGGGTGTGACATGACTTCTGATTGCTTATAGTAAAATGTGAGGTCAGGGAAATGAATTCAGAATGG